ACTACTACTACTACTACTACTACTACTACTACTGCTGCTGCTGCTGCTGCTACTACTACTACTAAAACAACAAACTACCACTACCACTACTCCTCCTCCTGCTGCTGCTGCTGCTGCTGCTAGTACTGCTAGTTCGAGTACCAGCACTTGTAAGTCTCCTCCTGCTCCTCCCTTTCTTCCCCCTCTTTTAACGAGATGTACAACTACCCGTCTCGGAAGCCCTGCCGGAAAGAAGCCAACAAGACAATGAAGGTCAAGCTCGCTATTCAAGCGCAAAGCCTCAAATGTCAAAGTCTAGACGCTTGTAGGCCCCGTTCAAGCCCGAGACCCCTCAAACTTTGAAGCTGCAGAGCCTTAAACCCTCGAAGTGTTGTACACCCAAACCCTGAAGCCCTGAACTTCTCTAGGCCTTTTTCCCCCAATCGCCCCCGCCCCATTTCCAGGCCGGAAATGTCCTCGCAGTTCGCAGCATCCCGCGGCTGGATGCTTCGCAGAACACCATGCTGCCTGGCCAATGATGTTAACATAGAGATTCCAGACACTTGTTGGCTTGTGCGGAGTGCGACTAGAAGAAGTTGTCGTTGCAGCAGTAATTAGGCGTAGCAGCAGTGGCGTGGGAGCAGTAGCAGTGGAATAATAATGAGTAGAAGTGAAAATAGAAGTAAAGTATGTAGTAGTATCAGCAGCAGCAACAGCAATACCAACCGGAAACGTACAGTACTCGAAACAGTCGTGATGACATCAGAACGAGAATCACAGTAGCAAGATTGAAAGTTATTACCGGCTCTACGCCCCAAAGCCAGGCCCTACAGACTAATTTAAAACCCTCAGGGCCCTAGCAATCGTCCCCCACTGTAGTACCTGTATGTCCCTGCGCACTTGTGGTGGGATACACCCCAGAACCATTCTATTTCTTAGGGCCCCATCGCCCCCGTCACTGTCATGAAGCCTCACAGCAAAATCATGAACGCCCTACGCAGCCCTTTCAACCGCCTCGAACCTGAAGAAGCAACATAAAAGAGTTCAACCCTAAACCCTAAACCCTAAACCCTAAACCCTAAACCCTAAACCATAACAAAAACACACAGCCCCGAAAACCTGTCTCGTCGAATGTAGAGCCCTCGCCTCAATCTACGCTTCCGAAGCCTCGCCTCTGCTCGGTTCGAACCTGAGGCTGATGCCGCGGCTTGGCGGAGCTAGTCAGGGTTTAGCGCTGTTTGGGGCCCTTCTAGGGTGCTTCTAGGGCCCTTCTGGGGCCCTTTTAGCTTTGGGGCTTAGTGCTTGTGGTTCAGGGCAAAGTTTAGGGCTTTATGTCTTAGGGCTTAGAGGATTCATGGTGTGGGGATCGGAGGTAGTCGACATTGTGTGTAAAAGGCTTCACAGGAGGTTTATCGGCGTCTATGGGGGTCGAGTGATAGCAGGGTGCCATCAGCTTGCAAAGGTCTCAGGTCTTAGGCTCCGGGGCCCAGGGTTTCGGGCTCAGAGCTTCGTTTTGGAAGCGTGGATTCGGGCCTTGGTTGTGAGGCTGAGGTTTGGAGTTCAACGTTCAGGGGATAGAATTGTGCGTGTTCGGTTCTGTTTTCGTAGTTTTGGTTTTCAATGCTGGGTTCGGGGCTTTGGCACTCTGGCAATGCTGCTTCTCTCAGCCCCACTTCCTCAGCTTCGAGGGGTGTGGGCTTCGGGTGGAAGGATTAGGGGCTTAGGACCTAGGGGCAGTCAGCGAAAGAACTTCAACAACGAGTAACCATGATGATGTAGGAGGCAATTTATTTATTTGCGCACCGGAAGCCTTTCATAGAGCTGAAACCCGGAATACGGCAACACAGCTCGCTGATGCTCCATGCGCATCTAGCCAAGGCTGAATTACCTCACGCGGCGGCCCCAGCATCCATCGGGGCATTGTTGGGCTTAGAGTGCAGGCCTCCGGGCAATGAGGGTGCATGAATCAGTGGTCTGCACTGCATGAGGTGCAAGCCAAGTGTTCTTGACGGATCTGATTTCAGGGTGTGGCGAAGGTCCTCCAAAGGTTCCATAACTGCTACTACTGATTTCTGGGCTTGTCGTGCTTTTGGGCTTCGCAGTGGTGACGGCTTGAAGTCTAGAATTCACTGGGGTTCAGGGCGATTGGCCCCATGCATTTCAGTATGTCATATGTAGCGGCAGAGTGCAGCATCGTGCTGTCGTTCCTGTGCGTTCAGATTTCTTAATACGGGCGTGTTTAAGCCAGGGGTCTGGGAATACCGGTTGCGGTTCTTTGGACAAGCGCTTATGGTTTGGACACGTTTGGACCGTGGAGTGAACCAGTAAACAGAGCCCTGTCAAATCCCTAAACCCTAACCCTAAACTTCCGTAAACCCTAAACCCTGAACCAGTAAACAAAGCTCTGTCAAATCGTCATGGCACCCCCCCAAGCAGACTCCACGCATGAGGCCCGCCCCCTATGCATTCGCAATTTGGGGCATTATCTACCTCCTTGCTGCTGGGCAAAAAGGTTTTTGCAGAGTGTGTGAAGTGATATCCGGGCGCCAACTTTTGAGTTTGGGGCTTGGGCTTCGGGATTTTAGATGGCCGTTGAGAAAGAGTTTTAAGGTAGGGTCACGGTTCAACTTGATGTATGCAGTGTATACCTATGATTCATGAACCTTCTTTAGAGGGCTTGAGGTTAGGTTCCGTATCAGAAAATGTGTTAACAATGGGGTCTCTGGTTCATCAGGCGTCATGACTTCCTTGAAGGTCCAAGCATCAAAGAAAAGTAGCTGGGTATTGGTACCTGAACCCTATTTGGTACCTGGACCCTCATTTCCAGGAATCATTCACGCTTTGGGCTTTGGGATTTAGGTTTATGGCTTATGTTTGAGGGTTTCAGGCTCCCGTTTAGGGTCACTCTGGGGCTATGATGTGCTGAAGTTCCTTGGCAGGGCCGGCAAAATTTGCAGAGTTCGAGGTCCTGAGATTTTGTTACCACAAACTCTAAATCCTAAACTTATCGTAAACCTTACGAAAAGGTGTTGCCAATTTATGATCAATCTCTGCTTAGATATTACCTGGTTCTCGTCTTGATACGCCTTGTCGTCATACTGTAACACAAAATGCCAAACACCAGTCACATTAAGGCAACTAGAAAAGAGCCCTGCCTTTGTTGGTTTACTTTCGGGTTTGGGGCCTACCAGGGGTCAGGATCGGTTTTCGCCTTAGTGTCCACTAGTTTAGGGCTTAGGGTGTTGATAGATTGGGGGTTTAAGGTTCAGGGATTTCCAGGTCGTAGGCCGCGGGGGGTGTAGAAGTGTACGAGTTTAGGGCAGCCTGAAACTGAAACAATAGAGTAGAGACCAGGTCCAAACTAGTGTAGCTACGGACCAGAACCCACATCCCCAACCCCAAACCCGAAACCTTTGATAGAAACCCTAAGCTCCTCGTAGGAACCCTGTGATACCCTGAAAGAGCCCTGACAGCACATGAAAGCAGAGGAATTCTGCTTCACCTTGTGGCAACTCTGCCAGTGCCCTCGCCGGCTTGGCGCAGAATCCAGACGGGCATCTTGATGGCATCGGATATATAGGCTGCCAGGGTTTACATTTGTTCAGGGTCGAGGGGTTGAGAGGCTTAAGGGGTATACATACGTACAATCATAATCACAAACCCTGAGAAACAGTATTGCTAATTCTTCAGGTTCCGATATTGCCATATTAGGGTGTACCTTTAGGGTTTTGCTTCTACTT